TTTCAAATAGGGTATGGTGAAAGTGATGCTGTGTCACTTTCTGAACTCGGCCTTAAGAAACTGGCAGCACCTGCTTGCTGTCTTCTGGGATACTGATTGTTGGAATACAGCCACCATGTTTTGAGGAAGCCCAAGCAGCCCATGGAGAGGCCCAGCTGAAGAGGAACTGAGGCCCCTGGTTGGCCCCAGCTGCATTCCCAGCTCATAGCTAGCATCAGTTTTCCAGTCATGTGAGTGAGCCATCTTGGAAGTAGATTCTCTAGTCCCTAGTAGACGTGCTGTGTGAAGCAGAGCCAAACCTTCCATGCCAAGCCTTGCCCAGATTGCAGATTCATGAGCTAAACAAATGATTTTCGTGGTGTATAAGCCACTAAGTTTTGGGGTGGATTGTTACACAGCAACACATAACTAGAACAATGGGCCTGTTTGGTTATGAAGATGAGGTATTCTGGACGTAGTACAGTTGGTCTGTATTAGTAGGGCTTCATTAGGTGGTCAAATTGCTCTCTTTACAACCCGTAAGAAATAACAGGAAATTAGAGGACTCTGAGCCAGCAAGCTAACGAGGAGAGGATGAAGGAAGGGAGAGGGCTCTAACTGAAGCACAAATGAACTCAACAACCAGTGAAAATTATCTAGTGCCAGAGATGGCATGGGGCTATTTAAGCACAAGTATGTCAGTGGTTCAGGTTTAAGGTGTTTGCTCATGCAGCTGGTGGCCAGAAGATGCAGCACCTGCTAATTTCCATCCCATGTACCCTAAACCTTCAGCAAAATCCACACATACTGTCTCGAGTCTGGAATACTCAGGATTGGATGGGTGTACGGCAATGAAGTCTGGAGGGTTGATGCAATGCAGTGTAAAACAGTGCACACTTGAGGCAAGATGGAAAATGGAGTTTGAGAATCCACAGGAAATAAGAGCTGGAAGCCAGAGGTGACTCAGGAAAATATAAGGCCTGGAAATGCCTTCAACTTTCTTTTTCACCCTATAACCCACAACCCCTGGACATATGTAAGGAATACTGGATGTCCCTCTTTGTGAAATGTGGGTTCAAGTCTTTTTTGGGCTTCAGTCTTAAGGTTTATAGTGACTTTAGTTGACTAGTGCTTGACTTAAGGGACATGCTACAGCGTGGATACTCATTGTGCAGTAAGTCTCCAAATTGTGTGCCTCTTACATTTCGGTTTTGAAGGGGATAACCACAACGACTCTCCTGAGCCTCAGTATGGGCCCACAGGGACACTTGTTGTCTAGGTTGCTCTTTGGTGCCAGTAGAGCATCACACACCTTGGTAGATGCCCCTCACTACGCTACTTAATGATGCAAGCAGTTAGACTCCTTGAATTGGTCAGGGGAAATACTCTGTGTACAGGGAAAGACTTATACCAGACTTCTGACCTCCGGAACTGTAAGATAATAAATTGTGTTATCTTAAGTCACTAAGTTTGTGGCTGCCACAGCAATAGAAAACTAATACAATCTGGATGTGAAACGTTATAATAAAGTATTTTAATTAAATGAAGGATTCAAGTTAGAAGAAAATGAAAATGTCCAAAGCTTATTTTTTGAGTTAAAATAAAGACGAACAATGCATGTTTTCGTTGTAGTTACTTTTACTGGAAAAACAACAACAACAAAACTTTTTTTTCAAGAGTCAAAATAGAAGACCATTACACAAGATTGCACAATCACTGACGAATGCTGGCAATGAAAGGTAAGTAGGCTAGTCTCATAGTCCTTGACTAAGACGCTTTCTTCATCTGCAGCACACTGAGAATGTAATTCTCAGAGCTGCTGGGCTGGGTTCACAGTTTCATTGGCCAAGCTCACTGCATTCTGTAATTGAGTCACATCAAACCTCAGGTAGGCACTCTTCCACCGAGATTTCAATCTTGAGAGCAGTTTAAATTTTCACATTCTTTCCATTTACCACTGGCTTTTTTAATAGTCAGGGGTATAAGTCAGCATTATCCAATGTCTTTCTTCGTTTACCACACAATTTACTCTCCTCTGTTTGGGACATAACGTGCTCAGTCTTCACATTCTTTTCAACCACCACTGTCTTTACTGTACAATAATATGCTTTAAATGTAAATATAGAAACCTACATCTTCAAAGGGAGGGAAAAAGAAAGAACCACCTGCTAGAAGATAGATACAGGTATGACAGGTAATTCCAGGGAGCACTAGAAAGGACTTTTTGCCATTAACACTAGCTTATAAAAAGCAATTATGAAACTTAAAAAAAAGAAATCAAATTAGATGTGTTGTGTGTGTGTTTTATTCTGCACCATTATGAATTAAATAGGAATAAATCTAATAACATGCTCTAGCTGCAAGACGAGACAAGAATGTTAACAGCTTACAAATACTGCTGTGAACATTCAGTTCTCTTCTGACACACGAGGCATATAAATGAGTCCAATTTTCAGAATCCTCCTCTGGGCCTCCTAGCCATGTGTGCCACGAATGGACATGCTTTTTTTTCCAGAGGACCAGAGTCTGCAATCCTGATTAGATTCAAGCTCGAGGTACAATTTAGCAAATGCTACATGCTTTGTTAATGATTTTATGCACCTGTGAGGTCTACTTAGGACCCAGAAGTTAGTTAAGAATATAGAAACAGTCTCTTGAAAATATATATCATATCTATATGTATATCTCCTTAGAAATTATGTAAAAGCCTAACATATTTTATGAATTTGATTTTTATAAGTAGTTTTCTAAAGCAAACTTACACATAATTTTTCCCCTCAACAGTACTGATAAAATACAGGGCACCTTTTTCTTTCAAGTATTTGGGTAAAATAGCATACCCTGAGAATTTGGGGTGCAAATCTACACCTTGTAAACTGTAGAATGAAACTCCTCAAGCACCACATAGGAAAATGTATACCATGATAGTTTAAACACAGAGACTATTACTGAATGTGTTTTCTCATGCACATATATATATATAATTATCATGAGATTATAGTCCATCTACTTAGGAATCAATACTGTCCCGCAGTCCAAAGGATTATTTCAGGTAGCATGAGCATTCAATTTGTAGCAAACACATGGAGTATGAAAATAATTAAAATGCATTAAATCATTAATGGCAAGGATAATAAAGTCAAATCTGAAATTAAAAAAAAGAAATTTATATCATCAGATATTTCCTAGAGATATAAGGATGAATTTGAAATTTGCGTTAACCTGTGAGATTTATCATAAAGATGTCAAAGGGTAATTTGTTTTAGCTTATTTACTCAGTGATACATAGAGAGCCATATAGACATATAGAGACATACAGAGAGCCTATATGTTAAGTCACTAACTGCATATCTGGGCTTCATTTAATCCTGAGGGCAATTTCAGTGATTGCTTTTAAGAGAATATATACTAGAGAATTAAATGTTCATATTGGTTACAAATGTGTTCAGTTTTCCAACAACAATTCAAATGGAGCCTATTTCAACCTGATCATTTAACCAACAGAGAAAAAGAGGAAATGGGTCAAGATTTCTATACACAATGCCCTGTGGTTTCTCTGGAAAACTGAGTCACACAGGTAACCGTGAGAGGAAATGGGAAAAGTCAGACTCTGCAATTCTAATTAGATTCAAGCTCAAGGCAGTATTTAGGAGATGCTGCATGCTTCACTAATGGTTTTGTGTACATAAAACATAAAAGGGTAGTTTAGTAGCTAAAGGGACATTGTTAGGGTAATAATTTTACGGGTTGGAAAGCTTCATAGACTCTTGTTTTACTCCACTTAACTTTGGTTGAAAAAGGAAGGGCACAACACTTCATTCCAATATCATGCAACCTCCAGAAATGATAAACAATGAAAGTGAGGATTTAGATTGACCTCATGTCTTTAAACATGTTCCTTTCTATCGCTTGAGGTAGTAAATGGCCTAGCAGCTTTGGTTTGTTTTTTTATGGTTTGATGAACTAGAGAACCATAGCATTATCAATAGATGGCGTGGTATTCATTGAGCATTATGCTAAAGTTCTGTTTAACCACTTGGACACTGACTACATCCTTCGCAGCTTCTCAGAGGACATGGCCTCTCTGATAGAACCAAAAAATGAAAAGTTCTCCTTTCTTTCCTAGTTTCTATCCTACTTCCCCTCAATGTGAGAATTTAAGGTTCAGATCTGCTGGTGATAAATAATGATAAAGAGCTTATAAGGACCCCAGCCCTGGGTAGGTAAGAACTCGACCATATTTTCTAGGGAAGGAGATGTCCCTCTTTTTGAAGACCTGGCAAACAGTTGACACTCAACATGGCCACTGGGTTTTCCTAAAAGTCACAGGTGGTTTTCAAACAGTCTTATCAATTCTGGTACTATACACCCAAAACCTATATTAGTTCACCAGATGTGTTCAAATACTTAAGATTTCATGGCACTGCTCTGAGCACTATAGGTTTGAGCTTTTTGCAATTGATTCTACCTTCTTGTTTCAATATGGAGTGACTTCATACCCAGCCAGTCTCTGCTGAACATGGGCTGGTGCTGTAAGAGAAGTTCCCCAATGGTGACAGGTTAAGTAAGTTCTGGAGTGACTCTGTTGATGGACCTGCGTAAGGTGACCTCTATGACAGGGGAATGACGCTTTCCCCAATATGGCACAAGGGCCTCTCTTCCGCACACAGAAGCTGTTTCATGTCTCGGAGGCTCTCGCTTCATTTCCTAACTCATCACCCCGTAACTGATTGAATTGAGACCAGAGCTGACTATTTCTACCTCAGACCTTTCCTTTTACCCCACAGAAGTTCTTTTTAGGGCAAAATTCCTTTAAGGAAGGCCCTGAAAGTGAAATTGAGTTATTTTTTTAAAAAGAGTCTAACTGAGATGGGAGGCATAGCCACGAACTCATGAGATGACATAAATCAGACAAAAATCAGTCTCAGAGTTTTTACTCACACCCTCAGTCAGGAATAGCATAAAACTCTGTGGCTTCAGGAAGCTATTTCAAGCAGAAAACAATATTAATGATCATTAAAATCAAAATAAGGGCTTTAAAAAAATTACCAGAATGCTTTATCTTCAAACAATAAGTAAAAAAGAGGAGATTCCTTAAAGAAAGTCTGGGAGAACCTTCAAGTTATTCTTTTAAAAAGTAAGAAATATTCCAATGTAACATTTGTGGAATATATATATTGACACACTTATTAATTATGACAAGCTAAATATTTATCTGTTCAATCAACTCTTCAAGACTCATTGTGAACACTCACTAAAATAACCTTCAGAACTGGGTTATAACTGAGGCAGTATTGAATATTGATGAAAGATTCCGTGATTTGGATTCTCAACGTCTCTTAAAACCATAAGGAGCAAGTGGTGTAATCCTGGGTCACTGCTATTGGTGTGTGTAGGGCTGGAGAGAATCAGAGCCACTGAATCAGAGTTTACGTTCTATTCTACTGCCCCAACAAGTCACTCTTCAGACTCCAAACAATCCGTGAGAGACAGGAGTGTGCAACTATGGAGGGAATCATTGAGGAAGAAAAATAATGCTATACACTCATAACAAAGGTTGGATTCCGAGCGGGAAACAGATATTTTATACCTTTCTGAGACTAAAAACTTAATTTTAATTGCAATCACTGCCTCTCCAGTATTTCAAGCCATTCCATTTTAAGGCAACAAAGAGTGTCATGGCATTGTACAAATGGGAAAATTTAAGCAAAGCACAAAAGTTAAAACCACTGTTTTTCACAATCACATTTGAAATCATGCTAAACCCAATAAAAGAACATGTAAAACATAACCAAGAGAATGACTAGGCTTGGCTGGTATTGATTCAAAATGCAGACCCCTCATATTTAAAATGCAGACTGGTGCTACAACTATGCCAGCTAGTCCTGATACATTCCAAGAACCTATAAGGAGATTTGTGATCCAAATATTAGTTTGCTGGCTTGGTTTACAACAGAACCAATCCTGTTGTGTTGTGTGTTTTGATTGAACCATGAGAACACTTAAGAGATTGTTTGCCTAGTCACAAATGCAGGAGGGAAAGATGAATAGGAAGCTTATATCCTGTATTAAAGTATAAAAAGAAAGTTTTACACAGGAAAAATGCAACCATTCAATCAGCTTAGTAAAACTAAAATAACACAAACTGTCTTAACAGCATTGTTCAGGAAAATATAGAAACTTACACACTTGGTTTATAAGAAGCAAAAACTAAGAATAACACATGTAGAGGAAGTTTTTCAGATGAATTCTTAGTGCTGTTACAATGTAACCTTCAGATTAAAGAAGAACCGTCCATCTTTCTTTCTTGCTCCTATAAACAAACATAGTCAAAGAAAAGATTGTTAGCTCTAAAAGTAAATCTCACTTTTAAATAAGCAAGAAAAATGTCAAAATACATTTTATTTAACTATTTGGTTAATGTCAATATCAGTAATGCTGAAGTTCATGTTTATAATGTGTTTGGCAAATGTGTTTCTGAACCTCCAGACATTATACTGACTTCAAGAAAGTGCTCCAAGTGGAACCTCTCTTTGAAGCTTGAACTAAACACAATTAACTATTCAAAAATGATTATAGAGTTAAATGTTTAGTTTCATTGAAATCATTCAAAACAGGGATAAAATAGTGTAAGAGATATGTTCCTAAAATATCATGCAGAAATGATATTTAAATTAAATTGAAACATTTGAAATTTACCATGAGTTATTAATGTAGTTAAATGAGTGAACTCTATACTGAGAATTCTTGTGAAGTGAATGATCACTACCTAAATTATGTGGAATTCCGTATAGTGCATTTTGCTTAAAATGAGATATACTGGTTAGAGCCTATGACTTAGTTAAGTCCATTCTAATTTAAGCATTGACATGTTCAAAAGCTTACTGAAAATTGGCCCTTTCTTTCTGTCAATCTCTCTCTATATAGTATATTGGTCAGAACTTTGCCTAAAGAACGTTTTTTTTTTAACATTTGAGAGTTGATATTTGAACATAATGTTATGAAGACAGAAATAGAGTGGTGCACAGGTAATATTTGTTAGGGATTAAGAAGACTCTATCATGTGAAAAATAACCCCTAAGAAGTATCAAATAACAGCTATCTAATCAATTATATGCTATCGGAGTAGTGCAGCCAAGGAGATTTTAAATCCTGTCACCTAGAACTGACTTGTGTTAAATATATGCTTAAGAAAAAAGAAGTCTATGAAAATAATTATGGTTTTATAGCTCACATGTATATATTTCATGTTTGTTTATTTTATTCTTTTGTATTATATACTGAGGAATGACCTTCAAGATGAAAGGGACTGTTGTGGGTTTGGAAACTTCTCACCTTAATATAAATTTAAGTGTTTGTACCTTAGGACATATAGAGGAGCATCAGGAAAAGAAAATGTAATTACAAGGGGAGGAGAAGAAAATACAAGACCAAGAAGACTCATTTCAGTGCGGATCCAAGGATCTGACAACAACTCAGGCTGAGTCCCATCATGAATCAAGGTTTGTAAGGACTCTCACTCTAACACAGAGGGGAGACAGAGAGAGAGAGAATACAGGACGGGGAGAGAAGTCTGAGAAAAGCAGGAGAAATCTGTTTACATCATCTACTGGCATTGTTTTCAGGGATCCAAAGTCTAGATATTGCCTTTTTCTTCATTCACAGGATATCGCTTCTGCTTATATTAATTGCAGAGGAATTTTGTTTGAAATCTTGAAAGTAATAAAGTTGCTCCAATTCCTCTTAAGAAAAAAATAATAAAAATCACCAGTTTGACCTATCAGAGGATCATGAAGAAGTCAGTAAAGATGAGGGGCGACTACACTGTCACCATGCAGTTGGGCCTGGATGACTTCCCATGATTTTAGGACCAGAACACACGACAGAGTTCAGCAGGGATGCTGGGTCAGATTTCCCTTGCTCCACACAGGCCTGCACCCAGACAGAGAGGAAAATCACCACATGCAGCTGGCACTCCATGCCCAGGGTTGTATAACCTTCTGGAAAGCCTTGGGGGATACTAGAGTACCCTGACCACCGCCAGCTGGTCTGCCCCAAGGGATCAGCCAGCTCAAAGGGGACCACAGAGCTGTGGGCATTGCCTCCAGTTTGGGGAAATGCAAAGCAATCTTGGGTGTGGGCCCCTGATGCTGCCTGAGCATCTGCAAGGACAAGGGCTGATTTTCTGTCCTGGTGAAGGCCACTGATGAAGCCTGAGGTGAGAGGGCTCTGAGGCATTTATGAGGTTCTAGTCCCCAAGGGAGACTGAACTCTTACCACCTGCCATGGACTAGGTGCTATGTCCTTTGTAATGGTCTTATAATTCAATTTTCACAACACACCTGCCAGAGTATCCCTGTTTTACAGTAGAGGAAACTGACGCCCAGAGAGGGCAAGTCACTTGTCCAGAGTAATAAGAGTATTAGAATTTGCGTGGGGGCAGCCTCACTTCAAGATGCACATACTTGAGCTTTAGGCAAAGCCACACACTCCCCTTCAACTAAAGTGCATGAACCCATTGGCATCCAGGAGGGATCCCACTCTCAGGTGGGTATCCCACACCTGCCCCTCTCCACCTGCACACACAATTACCCCACCACTGGGAGCCACAGCTGCTAGAAGTGCTGAAACTGTCTCTCTTTGGGGCATACAGTGTTCTAATGATGACTAAGGATAGCTAATTTTTTAATCAAAAGAAAAACACACATAGAGGCTTAGACTATGCTAGACATTTTCAGATTCGGGGTCAACTTCTTACCTTATTCCCTTCCCCTTTTTCCAGTTAAGAGAAGAGGGACAAGTCACAACAAGGAATGGAGCCGTGGAGGGCAGAGAGCAGAGAAAGGGGCAAACAAGGGGTCATCTGTAGGAGCACCAGCCTGGAGCTCGACAGGCCTGGGTTAGCTGACCTGTTGATCTGGGACAAGTAGTTTTCCATTTGTCAAATAGGAATAAAAATAGTACCTACTGGGTTAAAGAATCAAATGGCATGATGTTAAGTCTTGGTATAGAATAAATGATTAAAACACCTTCGCTGTTACTTTTCATTTTTTATTAATTTATAGAGGGTAAAGAGGAAAATATAAAGGCAATAAAATTATGGCAAAAGGCACAAAATAATAAGCCAGAGGAAAACTACAACCCAAGAAAAAAGAAAGGGAGAAAAGAAAAGGTAAAAAAAAAAAAAAAAAAAAGCTAGGAAAAAAAAAAGAAATAAATGAGCTGATGCAGGAATGCAATTGTGGAATGAACTGAAAATGCAATTCGAGGCTGCAGCCTGCAGCCCAGCCACCCGGCCTTGTGCACAATGCTGCAAAGAATGTGCAGGTGAGGGAGCCGGCGGGGGCCCTGCCCTTTGAGCTGTCCAGTCTGCGATAAAAACAAACTACAAACAATGAAGTGAGGAGAAGGGAAGAAGCAAGGTGGGGCATTAACTACATCAACTTGAAGTGAATGCGAAAGAAGAAATCACACTAAGAAATAAAATAGCCGGAAAAAAGAGCAAAGAACAGAAAGTAAATTCTCCAACAAATGGCCAAGGAAGAAAGGAGGGGTAGAAAACGAGTGGGACAGACCCCAGGAAGGAGGCCCTCCACAGAGTGGCCCTGGGGAAGAAGAGAGGGGCCTGGAGAGCAAGGGGAAAAGAGACTCTGGTTTGGAACAATTCAGGTTTTGAGTCCAACTCTGCCCCAAAGGGACACTGTGACTTAGGAAGGGTCACTTGACCTCTCTGAGCCCCCCTTTTCTCCTGCAATTTGAACACAGGGGACAGGGTTTGATGATCTAAGGGCCCTGCTGGGTCCCCTAGAACTCCCTGCAAAGACAGCTGCCCCTGACTCCAGCCCCTGTCTTTCCACTTCAGCTGCTGACCTGTGGGGCTCCACTCAGCAGGGAGAATGACTCTGAGGAAGTAAGGAGAAAAGAAAGACCAACGACATAGGAGCAACATAAAGTACACTCAGAAAATGAAGACAAAACAGGATAAAGTCTCACAGAAAAAGAAAGACATTCAAAGGAAACAAAATTATGGCAACGCCCACTGAGCAGCGGGTCTGGCGCCAAGACAAGTTTCCCGTTGTGATTATTACATATTTTATCTTTATGCCCTTGCAAATGGCGTTTAGTCTCAATTAAAACTTTAAAACAAAATATGGCATCTGAGCAAGTGAGCAGGAGAAAGTATGAGAGTGAATATGTCAGGGAAGGAGAAATACAGCTACACGCCCGAACGACAGAAAACTAAAACCAAAATAACCTCACCAGAAAAGGCATCCAAGGTCCTGTGGAGAAGGGACTTTCTTTTTTTTTTTTTAATTTTTTGTTTATTGCAGTAACATTGGTTTATAACATTGAGAAGGGACTTTCAAAATAAAACCAACCGACAACAAAGGCCTCGAACAGTAAAGCCCTGACAAGAAGGGAGATGGCAATGAGGTCTCGCAGCTGGTGTCCCAGCACACCGGCGGGTCACAAACGGTCCCACTGTGACTGTCCGTCCACAGGGCCACCAGGAGCCAGGCTGACAGCCTCATCCATTTATCACAGCGTGCAACGTCATCATGAAAGAACGGTAAAATAAATAACATCACTACTTATCTTCTTAGATGGCTGTGACATGGCAAAGCTTGAGGAGTACTACAATATTGACCACAGGGAGGAGAGAGGAGGGAAAGACGCCCACGAGAGCAAAACTGAAGGGAATTCATCGCAGAACAATCAGAGAAAGAGAGAGAGCAGCTGGTTATGCTCACATACATAGAGGAGGAGAAAGCAAATCTCCCTGTTACAATGTGCAGCTAAAAATAGAGGATGAAATACTTATTATTTGAGCTGGAAGGAATCTTAAAGGTTAAGACAGGACTTGAACAACAGGTTTGCAGTTCTGTGTGTATGGGTGTGTCCTCCTGCTGGAGTGAAGGCTCCTGGCTTGTGGGACAGTACCAGGTCACATGTGGGTTTATAGCCTTGGCAGAGTATACTGTGGCCGGTAGAGTGTAAACACGTAATTCACGTTTGTTGAATGAATGAGGGAATTAGTGTGTTTCGTTCAAACATTCATTTTACAAATGCCCAGAGGCAGAGAGTAGATCCCAGGTGTCCTGGCTGCCAGTTTAGAACTCTTGAGGCCCCTCTGCCATCCTTCCTTTACTCCACGCCTCCTACTGAGGAACATACAGAGCGGCCCACCGGGAGCCTGGTGTGGCCCAGGAGCTAAGAGCCAGTGCACAGGTCCTGGCTCTCTCACTGTCTGGGGACTGCAGCAAAACCATTTCTTTCTAAGTCCCCATTTTCTTCTCTGTGAAATGTGATTGGATCAAATCATTTATGTGACTTCTTAGTTGAAAGGAGCACATAAAACCCTACCCCACCTCAAGGAAAATCTCTGGGATAACTCTGGTTTTCAAAGGAAACCTTGAACTGAAACCAGCTTCCAAGACTTCTCACCCTGACCATCCGTTCGAGCACCGGTTGATGGAGGAGTGTGTACAATGTAACTTTTTGATATATCTGAACAGTGTTAAAAATTTTTTCACACAAGGTAAAGAATTACACACTTCCTTTTTATGTATCTGACTTTTCTTTGGAAAGTGGCATAGAACTTTCAAGAAGGTAAGTTTTTAAGGATTTTAGTTAGTTATCTGAGTTAGGATAATTAGATTTTTGCCTGTACACAAAAAACTAATCGTTAGTCTCTGACTAGTGTGGTTAAATCATGAAGCCAGTTTTTGTTTTTCCATCTTTAGGGCTGTGGACTAAAATAAAGGTTGTACTTTCAAAAAGAGAGAAACTTGCAAATTAATCACAGTTCAAATCTCAAATACTAAAAACTGTGATTTATATTTGTGTCTAATGGAAATAACTCCAGGCCTAATCTCTCCAGACTCCGTGGATAGGAGAAAGGCCTGAGGCGGCTGCCGAGGGGACACTGTGCAAGCCTGCTTGCACACGGCCCTCCCTCCCCTGCGCCCTGCCCTCCCTCCCCTCGCTTCTGCACCTCCACAGCTCACACAAAGACCTCAAAGGATTAGCTGCTCCAAAACAGTCGTAGGTAAACATACCCCCTGTCCAGATGATTACAACGCTTTTGTCTAGAGGCTACTCTTTTCCTTCTGCAAAATTAATTCTCTAATTCTGAGTCTCTTCCACATGCGTATTGATTTTTTTCTTTATTTTCTACATCAGACAAAAGATGCACTATTTATCCTTAATCACCCCCTCTGCTCTTTCTTTGTGATCCTCAACACTGCCTGTTGCAAACTCTTGGAGAGGAAGAAATAAAACCATTTATTTCTGGATTGCAAGAAAAATGAGGTTGGTGCTTTCACCAAATTCTTAGAGAAAGACCCAAGGATTTTTGAACAGTGGCCTAATGCTGCCTTGTAGTTCAATCAATGTAATACACAGTAACAATCCTTTAATTTAAAAAAAGTTTTATACCTTGCAATACGCTGTACTATCATCCAACATTCAGATAAATTGTGAGGAGCAGATACTATTGACACCTGAGTGTCCTGAATGCTGGGGAGTGTGCGGGCCTGGGGACACACAGCTGGCCAGAAGAAGCTGCAAGTCTCATCCAATGACCCTACTCCCTAACTTAAGGCTCTTTCACTGCACAAAGAAACAATGTTCCTCTGTTCCTTTCCAGTTCAGAAAAGAGAGAAATGGCTTCTTTCTTTCATATAAGCATAGAAAGGGTTTCTCTCCTCCCCATCTCCTTTCTTGGTTCAGTACGATCTTACTAAGGAGTGAAAGTCCTAGAAGCATTTATGATGTCAACCCTAATCTGAAGAGAACAGGAGAACGAGGGGGCAAATTAGCCCCCACAGTGCTGACACCTTTATGCTCGTATCTGAAGGTCGCCCCGGTCTTACATGTTTGACCTGAAGGGTCCTGGTTCACACAAGCCAAGCTCACTTTTCCTATCAAGTTCCATGGACTGTATTTACAGCAAGGATTCCTGCCTGTGAATTTGGGTTAACTCTGGTGTCAGGAATCTACTTTATCTGATTTCCTTTACTGGGGGCAAGTGGGAACTGACTCTTTTCTCCCTGGAGAGAATGCATACATGAAAATGAGCTCCGTCTGAACAGACTGGATCAAACACAGCAGCATGTCCCAGGAGCCACTGCAGCTCCAGAATCCCCCTCTCGTAGAGGTAACACCCTGTGTGTGTGTGTGTCTGTGTGTGTGTGTAGGATACCTCAAAGACTTGAAAAAGTATTCTGATCGTCTGAAAACAGACAAACCAGACCTTAAAAATACAGGCTTTTTGTATAAGAAACCAAGAGGGAGATGTGGTGGAAGGCGACAAGCCTTTCTGCAGATTTTAGAAAACTTCCTAACAAGAAAACGTCAGTCTTTGACTCTCCTTACTTCTGAGGAGCAGCCAGATAAGAGCGTTCCCAATGATCTCTCAGGACGTTCCTGCCGGCTGTCTGTCACTGGGCTGCCAGGAACAAGAGTGAAGTTCACTCCGTGAAATCTGGACTGGGTTTTTGTTTCTTTCTGCTGCCAACCTTCACTAAAGGCTAACCAGACAGATCCAGGGTTCACTCCCCTCCTACTCAAGGTGGGAAAAATACTCAGGCAATTTGAAAAGGTCAAAGGGGAAAGGCCAGCCACAAAGGGTAAGGAGTGGGGAGAGGAGGAAGCTTGGCAAGAAAATTAGCTCCTTAATAATTTGGTGGGGTTGTGTTCTATTCTTCCAAAGTGCCCATTTCTAGACAGCCTCCTCTGCTGTAAATCTGCCACTTCAAACACAAAGAAATAAGATTAGTCTTAATCTTTTAAACCTGATTATCAACGTAACATTCACTCACCAGCAGCTGCTCCACTCTGCTTTCTGGTGACTGCTCATCATCGATGCTCCACCACAAAGCTCATGGTGGTGCCGTCAAAGGAAGGGGGGGCAATGATCCGTGGCCCCAGGGGCTGTGAAGTGATGCTGATGACAGGCTTGCCATGCAGCTGGGCGAAGCCCTTGGCCCCCACCAGCTGGGATGTGGCTGCTGCGGCTGAGGAGGAAGAGGAGGCAGGAGCCTGACCAGAGGCCATGAAGTATGGGGCCTCGGTGAAGGTCGCAGCTGCCTCTTTGCCAGGATGCTCTGCCGCCATGGGGGAGAGCTCACTGCCTCCTGGAGTGTGAGCAATTGGCGTGGGCTGCAGGGTGGTGGTGGGCAGCACTGTGGGCAGAAACCCAGGGTAGATCATGTAGGTGGGGCCATAGGCCCCGGGACTCAGGGCCAAGGGAGGCACAGGGAGGGACATGGGAGCCACAGCCTGCTGCTGGGTGGTCATGGGCACGTCCACATACTGCCCTGTCTCGGGGTCAAAGAGTCTCCGGGTCATGGGCTGTACTGGTGTGTCCACCAGATAGTACTGGCCAGTCGTCACATCCAGGAGCATCTTACGCTGGGTCTGCTGAGGCTGTGGCTGCTGGAAGGGGTCTGTGGGGACCGGAGCTGGGCCTGCAGGTGTGGGGGCAGGCATGCCAGGTGGGGAGAAACAGAGGACCTGGGGCTGGGCCCCCTGCAGGGTGAAGGGCAGCAGCTGCTGGTGGTAGATGGTGGGAGGGGGGCGCTCGGGGCTCTGTGGCCCTGTGGGGGCAGCTACTGTCTCCCGGGTGTTGTCCAGTTTGGTACGCCAAGCTGGCCGGCTGGTTCCACTGACCTGAGAGCCTTTGGGGCTACTGGGGACCTGACTGCGGGCACTCAGAGGGGGCAAGCTGCAGAGAGTGGCCGCGGAGGAGACTGGGAGCCCCTCCCTCCCAGGCCCAGGCCTGCCCGGAAGCTCCCCAGCTGCAGAGCTTCCTTTAAGCGGGATGGTCAGGTAATTCTCACAGTCACTGTTGCTCTTTTCCAAATTGCTGCCATTTTTGCTGTTGGTCACCTCATCGAGAGGTGCCCGGGTGGCCGGAGAGATCTTGAGGGACCGGAGTCCCTGCGATTTGATGCCCTTTGCGGTTGAAGGACTCTCTGGAGAAGGTCCTTGGGGGAACTTGCCAGCGACACCCCCAGTTTTCTGGGTGCTGCTGGCACTCACGGTGAGCACGTTCCGGTTGCTGGGGAGTGGTGGGAGGGGCTGCAGGGGTTGGGTCCTCTCCACATCCTTGTGCACTGGGGGAATATAGAGGGATCGGGGCCTCTCCCTGGCCAGGTTCTCGAAGGCCGCTGCCCGGGCAGACACGCTCTCAGCGCTCGGGTTGGAGTTTCTCCGCTGCAGACGCTCTACGGGACCCCCTCGCAGGACCACTCCGCCTCTGTTTCCTGTGCCCCGCTCTTCCACCTCACCCAGACGTCTGGCCAGCTTGTTGGGGTCCCCTTCGGCCCCCCCGGCCCCTTCCCTCTCCTCACTCGCGATGAGCGACAGGACGTGGCTGTCGGTCATCATGGGCAGGGGGTCACTTTTACGCTTCCACTCGTTCCTGTTGAAGCTGTACAGCTCCTCCATGGACCTCACGGCGGCGGTCAGCTTCTCCAGGGCATTCCGGGACGGCTTCGGGCCTTTCCCCTCCTCCTTGGCCTCCTCCTCCTTGGCCTTCTCTGGGGTCTTCTGGGCAGAAGCCTTGGAGACGATCTTGAGCACAGGCAGGTAGGAGCCCTGCTCAGGCTTATTGGGGGCAATGGTGGCCACGGGCAGCCTGCCAGACGCCCTGTGAACCAAGACTGTCCCTTCAGGGGAGGAGGAATCCAAGCGCCTGCTGCTTCCGCCTCTGCCCGCGTTCTCCCTCGGCTCTCGGTCTGCACTGTCTCCTCTCTGGTTCACCACAGCCTGGCACGTAATCACCACGGGGGACAGGGATCCGGATCCGCCAGCTGCAGCAGCCAGCTGCCTGGGTTTTGGCCCAGTCAGCCCCTGCTCTGGGGTAACACTGCCCTTGTCACTACTGTCCCCTGACCCTTTGATTAGTTTCCTGACATCTCTCACCTGGTGGAGGGGGCCTTGGGCCTTGGACTTGTCTCTGACATCTCTCACCTGGAACTGGGGCACTTTTTCCAGGTTGTCCCCCCGGAAGAGTTTCTGCTGCGCTCTGCTGTTGTCCTCAATGGTCTTAAAGAGGTTCGAGGTGCTGCCACTGGCCAGTTTGGGAGTGAGCAGCTTGGCAATGTTGAAATCCGAGCTTGGCTGTTGCACGCTCCCCAGCCTGATCTTGATTTCGGGAGCCTTGGGCCTGATCACAGCCGTGGAGGTGGCTTGGGCGGCAGGCTGCTTGGTGGCCTGCTTCCCCGGCTGCTTGTCCTTGGGTGTCTGCTGGATGTTGGGGACAAAGAGGCGGGACATGATGGTGGACTTGCCGGCAGAGAGCTCTCCGAGATCAGCCCTCCAGTCGCCCCCTTTGGGGAGTTTCAGCTTTCCGATGGGGGCTTTCTCTTCCCGCTTCTCGGCCTCTTTCTCCTTCCACGACCGGAACGCGCTGTTCTGACTGCGGAGGAAGATGCTCCTGACAGTCTCTGATGCGCTCTTTTTGATTTCACACACTTCAGTGTGTCCATCAGCAAAATTTCTGCCAGCGCCTGCATTGCTCTCCCGAGGCGCACTGGCTTTGAAAGTGGGGGATTTAGACCCAGCCATGGACCCTTCCCCACCTGCATCAGACACGCTGACCACCGTGTGCTCAGAGCCGGCCTCCGAGTGGCGAGAACTCTGCCTCTGCAGGCCCCTCTCCCGCTGCTTCTCACCCCCGGGTGGGCTCTCCGTCTCCTTGGAGGTGCTGGAGAGGTGATGGTAGGAAGTGTCAATGACTTCTCCCCTCTCCATTTTGAACTCATGTTCCCGCTGCATCTTCTTGGAGATGACATTTTTGAGCAGACTGGAAGCAAACTTGGACTTCTTCTGGGGGCCGTCGGCGCGGGGGGAAGGCTTGCTGCTCTCAGATGTCTCGGAGCCATCGTCTGTGTATGCCGATCCAGGGCCCTTGCTGGAGCCTTTGGTGGCCCTGCAGGGCCCAGTGGCTGAGGTGGCTTTGCTCTCACTGCGTAAATTCAGAGGCTCGAGAAGGGTGACCACGCGAGAGCCCGTCTGGACCTGCTTCTGGAAACACAGCGGTGTCTCCACATGTTTGATTTCACCCTCGACTTTGCTGACGACGAACTCCAAGGCCTTGGTCTGGGACTTCTTGGACTGGATGTAGAGCTGGTCTGCGGTGGTCCGGGCCCCACCTCCCTTCCTCAGACCCGCGGCCACGGAGGCCGCGCTGCTCCTGAGGAGGCTCTGTTCCACCCTGGCTCCAACACCTCCACATTTTAGGTCCAGAAAGGTCGACCAACGCCCAAAGCCGACTTCGGAGAGCGTGGAGGACTCCCGGGAGCTGATGTTCAGAGCCTCAAAGTAGGGGTAAGCGAGGCTCCGGAAGGCCCGGGAGGTCAGGTTGCGCACCTCTTTGTCCGCATCGTCCAGTTCGCTCACGGCGCTGGAGGCCCCGCTGGAGTAGTCCACCAGCTCCTTGGCGCGGATGGCCCCGCACCGGGTTTGCAGGCGAGCAGGGACCGCGATGAATTTCTTTGCATGGTCCTGAGCCACGGCTGCAGCCGGGTCTTGCTTCAGTGAACTTGAATTGTGTTCAGCAGCTGCAGAGACGCGGAGGCTCATGTCGCCTTCATGCTTGGCAGCGTGAATAATGTTTTGCTTTGCACGCACGTTGCTAGGCTCATTTATAGCCCGGGAAGCTGGTTTGATTGATAGGAGGATCTGGCTTGCTGCACTCCCACAGCTGCTTGCCGCGGCTGCTGCCCCTGAAGCTGCCTCCGGGGGCTCGGGCAAGGGCTCCCGCGGGGTGGCAGTGCCAGACCCAGTGGGTGGGGGAGTGGGGTCACTGTCCGAGGGGCCGCTACCCACTTCCGTGCTGCTGGTGTTGCGACCGCTGCTGCCTGCGCTGGGGCGGGCGGGGTCACTGCTCGTGGGGCTGGGCGTCCGCGTGGCGTTGGTGCTGGGAGTGGTGCTGAGGTAGCAGCTGTTGTCGTCGTCCTCTTCGGTCGCGGTGGTGACGTCCCCCGGGGTCTCATCGCTGCCACCAAAGGAAGCATAGTCCACAAACGAGTAGATGACGTTGTTGTCCTCGAAATCCAAGCGGGAGGCCAGTCCCACGTCGAAGTCCATGTCCTGCTCCACCTCACTCAGCTGGATCTCGTGGGTAGTGATGTAGTGAGCCTCCTCACTTTTGGGGGGGTCTCTGCTGCCCTGAGACCTGGCAATAATGTCCTTGCACTCGGCTCCAACTCCTCCCCCATCACCACCCCCTCCTCCTCTTGCTCCCCCTCCTCCTCCTACCATGGGCTGGCAGCTCACTGCGCGCTCACCACTGTCACTCTCAAAGCCTAAAGATGAGGACGAGGTGGCCAGAGCCCCTGTTGATGTGGTGTCATCATCCATCTTGGAAAGGCCACCTTCTTCGCCTTTGTCCACCGGGGAGGAAGAGAAGGAGAAGTGGCTACCCTGGTCAGTGTCGGGGAGCTGGGATCTGGGGAGTCCGGAGGAAGCAAGATTCTTCCGGGAGGTTGGAGCCTCGCACTCCTGACCGCTGGCTTCATCCTGCTCTCTCTCCTTGGGACTCCTAGAGGCCCTCTGATCCCTGGGGCGGCGCTCTGGAGTGAGACTCCCCGTGCGGCGACTGCTGCTCCAGACTCCGGCTGAAGCGCACATCTCCACATATTTCACTTCGCGCTGGGAGGAGGCTGGTGGCTTGGGCAGCGGCCGCAGCTGCTGCTTTAGCTCCTGGCTATCTTGAGCTCCACTCACCCTGTCCCCCACCTCCCGCAGTCTGGCCTGCAGTTTCAGCTCAGGAGTGGTGGCTTCCATTCTGAGCCCTCGCCTAGGTTTCAGCGATAGGAAGAGACAGTGGTGAGCTCTGGGGCTGTCCTGGGTCCCTCCCTGTCCCTGGAGGGGCTGCAGAGTTGCCCGAAGCAGGGTCCCACGTGCCTGGACTGGCCCCAAGGCTGTAGGCACCCCTGCGGCTGCTGCCACCACCTCCCAGTTCTTCAGCCCCTGTGGCGGGGCCGGGGCAAGCCTGCAAGAGGTGAGAAGGCTCCTGGATGGGGTGGCAGAGGTGGTCTGTGGCTGGGGGGCTGCTGCTCTGGCCGAGACTGTGGCCAGCTTCCTGTAGCTGAGCTGTTCTGTCCAGTTGTTTGCCTGGCACCGTCGGCAGCTAGGAGTCTGAACGCCATCGGCCACGGAAGGAACAGCATCTGTAGGTGGATCCCGGGACTCCCAGAAATGAAAGGAAAGCATGTGCTGTTTCTTGTGAAGCCTTGTCCCTTTCCTGGATGGGGCGAGAGTGGGTCACGTCATTCCAGAAATATTTTTAGTGTCTGTTCCCTGGTCATACTGAAACCACACTTGAGGGTAGAGAGAAGAGGCTTCAAGATGGAAAGAGAATGTTGGGGGTGGAGGAGGCGTGTGGATTCTAATTCAGATCACCCAAATGTTCTCTGTGATCTAGTATGGAGACGTCTAGCGAGTATGAAATTATTCTTTACTCACTGCCATCTTTCATTCCCAAGTCTGATTAAATTGTTTTTTCCCTTGTTCTTATATAAAATTCAAATTCTGCATTGCATTTCAAATCAATTAAGGACAATCCAGAAAGATTTCAAATCTCCCTTGGACATATGGTAAACTTTGTTTTTCTCAAAATCTGTGCAGTTTCTTTCGCTTTCATCTCAGATCAGATGAGTTGTGGTAATAAAACTTTTCATAAGAATAAAACCTTCCATCCCTCTTTCCCAAACTTATACTCTATGAAACATAATCTATTTCTTTCAAAATAGAAAGAATCCCTTCTAGAATCCTTACTGTGTTGACTCGAAGTATAAAAGGGCAATTTTCAAAGACTGAAAACATAATGCTTTAAATAAACTTTTAATTGTACTCACTAAAAAGGAGCACGAGGAGTCAAAATTGACACTACTTCAAGTCCCTGTGATATCTACTCAATCTCACAAAAGTTCCCTAAGCTTCTAAAAGAATGGCAAGACAAGAAACCTGCACTTAAATATAGCTTGAGCTGCAGCCTCGTGATTCGGTTACACTGGCTGAATTCCAGACCTGCAGGGCACCGAGTCAGAAGGCACGGAAGAACAACGAATACACTTACCCTCCACGAGTACAGTGCAGCTTGGAGGGCGGTTCGGAGAGGAAATGTGACCCGCTGGCATGCCCCATGGAAACGAAGCCCAAGTCCCAGTTCACTGGCTCTGAGGTACATCCATTTCAGACAATTCAGTAGTTGTGCAAGTGAACTTGCCAGGCAGCACACAGTGGGGGTTCTGTGCTGGCATCCTCAGAGCAGAGCCCTCGGGGCTGTCAGTGCAGAACCACGACTCTTGGTTTTGGTGAGATCTGGCCCTCATCATCTGCCAGGCCCAGTTCCACCACTATACATAGTCTATGTGTCACTCATGCCGATTGAATAAAGCACTATTTTAAACATCCGCATTTGTGGGGAACAAAAATAACACCATCCCCTTCCAACATGAATGCCACCCCCACACAGAAAAATGTTCCTTCCTCTGGATAAGCCTGGGGGGAAGTATGGAGTGGGAGCCCCTGACAACTGAAGCTTCTGCTTTCCCATACTGGAGATGTGGATGGCACAGCCCTGCCATTCTCCCCATAGCTCACTTCTGCCCACATCACTGCCGTTAAAAACACGATGACGTAGGAAAGACTGGAAACATCAGGTATCACAGTGTGGATGTAAAGCCAGAGCACTAGGTGAAGAGAGTAACAGAGACAAGGAAACAGAGAGAAACAAAGAGGGAGAGGAAGAGGATGGCAGAAGAGGCAGAGGGAGAGAGAGAATTTGCTATCAACTTTTTGATTTTCGAGAATCACGCTTAATGACACAAAGTCCTAGATTCTTAATGATAGTAAAAATTTTAAAATAATAATTACAACTAAGAGTTATATGGAACTTACTATGTGCGAGGCACTATTTGAAGGATTTATAAACGTGTGTATGTTAATTTCTTTAATCCTCATAACAACCTGATGAGTTAGGTACAATTATTGTAGTGATTTATAGATGGGAAAGCTGAGGCACAGAGGTGTTAAGAAATAACGGAGCAGAATTAAAACCCAGGCACTCTGGCCCAGAGCCTGAACCTTAGCCATTCTGCTCAGAGCCTTGCTGACTTCCATGCTCCAATTCTCTCCGGGCACCCAGATGCTCAATTAGAAGAAAGCAACACATCCACTAGGCAATTTCATCTGCATGATCACAAATAAACAAGATAACTGTTTTTTCATTTTGTTGTTTTTTTCATATCATCACCCTGTGTACACATTGTGTACTCAGGGATCGAGGAACATGCCCCTATAAATAAAATGAAATGAAATGTAATTGGCTCCTTTGGGCAGGCAGAGTATTTTCAATGCCCCGTTTTAATTTTGCTTTGAGGCCTTGGACAGTAAACTATGAACACTGCCTCCAGCACCGTGGGCCATACACTCTCCATAGCTGAATAGAAGGCAGAGTTTCTGCCCATCAAGGCAATTACAGTCTAAGGAGGAGTTTTTCCAGCACTTTCCATATGGCCCCGTCTGTCATGACAACTCCACAGATTTCAGCAGCTTCTCCCTGCAGTTGGCAAAGTACAAAATTGGAAGGTCAGATGCCCTGGGTGTAGGTTAAAGCATAATTGCTGAATGCCTGAAGTTCTAGAAATCTACTTCCAATGTCTGGCTTCCTCCAGAGAGCACAGCCCTAGCCAAAGCTCCCCAAGAGACAAAGAGATAGGGTTATCCTAAAAGAGGTACTTACCTCCAAAATATCTGTGTGGCTTCTTTTCTCCTTTCTATCTAAATGAATGCCAGTGTAGGAAAAAATTTGTAGGGAAATCTTTTTCAAATAAAGTTAATTTCCAAAAAGTAGGATTTAATTCAAACCATAAATTCTATTTAAAAATCAAACAAGCAGAGAATTTGGAGTAAGACAGACTATACTAAAAGATTTTTTAAAAAAGAAACTCATAAATGAAAAAGAATGACCACTTTCAGGTAAAGTAAAACAATTAAGAACCCCAAACTGCCTGCCTTCCAGCATTTTCAGAGTTCGGAGTCAGTAAATATTACTATGAAATACTCCCAGCTCTGTTGGAATAATTTGCAGTCATGGGTCCCCGTAGAGCCTTTTATTCCTCAATATGACTACAATCATTTTTTTTACAGATGAACTCAGTGGTTGCCTCCCTGATCTCAGCTCTTGAGCAGTTAACAGTGACTAATGTCACCAGCATGAACCCACATTCAGCAGGCCCCCTTGCTAGAGCAGGCAAGGTATACTCGGCAGATCACCTTATAAGGGGACTCAAAGAGCACGCAGGGAGTGACTCAGGGTCGTTATTTCTATCTCTGCAGTGCAAGTTTCCTAGCATTCCCTGAAAGTCTTGTGAGATGTATCACAGTACGGAAAACTTTAACATGATTAGAGGAATTAAGAATGAAGGCCAGACTGTCCACCAACTGGTAAAAGGATATAGTTATAGTCCAGGTCTCTGACAGTGGCATAATATGATAGACAAATATATAATTCAAAAGGAAGAACAGTTTATGAGATCTAGACTACTAGACCAGAAATGGAGAGAGAAGTTTAAACTCTGACTCAAACTAGGAGTCAGACAAAGGATTCACCAAACACAGGCGTTCTCAGGATTCTCTGGGTGCCATAGAAGATTACTTTAAATTTTGTATAAGGCTTTCCATAAACACCTGCACACACATTTGCACACACTGATGTGAAGGAGGCTTTTCTGCGGCTGCTGCTCAAATCCCAGAGTGTGGCCAGCTATTCCTCTTCCGGGCCCAGGCCAGGGTACATGAGAATTACATCTGAAGGAAAGGCACCATATTATTTTTATTTGCTGGGGGTGCCAAAAAGTGGCTATTTAGTTACTGAGGCATATGCTTTACCTACTTTAGTTCGTATGTTCCTCTCAAAATCACCATGACACAGCAATTATTATTCCCATTTTATGGATGAAAAATTGAGGTTGAGTGGAGCCATGTAGCCTGCATGACTTTTCACAACCAGTAAGTGCTGGAGCCCTGATTGCCCAGCTCTGAGGGACCCAAGTCCACGCTCAGTCGATGATGGAGCATTCAGTCCAGGAGGTGGAGGTCACAGGCTCATTCTCACTTCTGGCCAATTAGCTGTTCCACAGCTTCAATCAGCTGCCTGCACAAGGGACCAGCTGGTCACCATGGAGTCCAAGGAAACCCAGTACAGGATTAGTGTAAAACTATCCCTGTGGATAGAAAATAGCATGTACCGTGAGGATGAATAAGTATCACTGTCTTCTTGTGCAAAGAAGAGCACGTTATTGTAGAGTTGTGCCATGCCCATTGCACTTGGGACCTTTAGCTATGCCCTTAAAACCTGGAAGGACAGGAAGGAACAGTTCACCACCAGAAATACAAGTTTAACTCACAGAGGGCAGGGGTGGTGCAAAAGGTTCTTCACTTTTCCCCTTGGGTCAGGATGTGTAGCCAGGAATCACTCTCGTCTCTGTCTCCCTCCCTCCTGCACTCCTCATAGACATTTTGCCCTCCCTGTCCCCTCCACCATTCCCCTTCTTCCTTTTGGCCCTCGACTTGTTATCCTGGACAACAGACAATAGTTTCCATCTGGTTTTGTCTTGAGGGAGTTGTGGAGGTTTTCGTGTTTTAGGTCTTAGCGGATAAAAGAATATTATCCTTTTCAGAACAGCCTCAAAGTGAAACATTGACAGAACAAGTAACTCTTCCTCTGTGTAATCCTGATCACTTTGAATAGCCTAACTCTAAACGTTCCTCTGTCTCACCGGAGCCGGCTATCGGTTAGCCTAGCCTGTAGGAGGCAGGGGCCTGAGAGGGGAGTTGCCAAGGGTGCCTCCCCGGTCAGAGATGTCAGGTCAGGGAAGATGCCTCGGTAGGCTTTAACGAGTTACTGTAAGTTTTTCCAGGTTGGTGTTGAAACAGAATTTAAATAACCAGTCAACTCAGCAGCCTGTCTACAGAATCGTGTAATGACTTATTTCTGTGATTTTAGAAAGGAATTATTTTTTTGCTTTTTAATTCTTGATGTTGCATTTTGGGGGCTAAAGTACTCTGATGCAAATTAGAGCAACTGTCTAGAAAACAATCTGACAGTTTCTATCTATCATACAGAAAAAGAACATTAGGGTTTAACAATATACTTAGAGGGATGTTTATTGCAGCGTGTTGTGATAGCAAAAAATTGGAAACCCCCTCAATGTCAATCAACAGAGAAATGGTTGATTGATTACAGCACATGCACGCTGTGACATTGTGAGGACATTAATTCTGCAGACATTAAATGAACAGGAACATATGTTGTAATATTGAAAGGATTTCCATGAAAAGAAGATTACAGAATGAAATGTATTAGTATGATACCATTTCAACAATAACAAGAGTAAAACTCATTAAGTGAACATTTAGTTGTATCAACATAGAAAATATATAGAAGTATAAACACCAAACTAACATTGTTTTTGTATATGTGGGAAGGTAAGATTGAACAATTATTATTAAATTTTCCCTTATGCAGCTTAGTGTTGTTTGAATTGTTACAACAAACATATGTTTCTTCTATAATAGAAAAACTATTTTTATATTGAAAAAATTTAGTTTCCTTTATAAACTTTCCTTAAATTAAGCCCATTCAGCTTAGAATTGAGGCAAAGACAATTTATACCAGACCAAAGAGACCTTTTAGCTTTACTCCTTCATTTTATCAATGTAGGAAATGAAGTTCAGAGAAGTTAAGTGACTTGCCCAAGGTCACACAGCTATGAGTAGAGGAGGAGGACCAGAATCTGTTTCTTCTGACCCCAAACTCAGTGATTGTTCCTGTGTTGCTCAAACTTTGTCATCAAAGTGACAAAAGGGAACAAGAGACTAAATTGCATTCTCAAAAAATTGGGATATGTTCCCTAAAAAAGCAAATAATTTCATTGTGGCATTATGTTTTATTTAAAAACTAAGGTGAATTAAATAAACAGACTATCACCACATGCAAAAATATGGATGAATCTTACAAATGTAATGTTAGGAAAAAGAAGCCAGCTGCAAAGAGAACATACTGAAGATTCTATTTATATAAAAATCTAAAACAGGACAAAGTCATCACTGGTGCTGGAAGTCAGGATAGTGGTTACTTTGGTGATGGTGTCAGAGAAGTGGCGAAGGGCGCTCTGGCGTGCCTCTCCATCTGGGAGTGGTCACGTGGACACATTAACTCTGTGAGAGAATATTGAGCTGCATGCTTGTGATTGTTCACTGCACTATACATATGTTATGTAACGTTCATTAAAAAACTCCTATGGTTTTTACAATCATAAAATACCCATATCTATTTTCATATATATTTTTTCAAATCTTGAAATAAAGTTCATAGTTTCTAAAAATATATGCAATAATTATTTTGTCACTTCACCTACCACTTGGTGACTCCAGGGTGTCTCCAGAGGGGTCCGTACCCAGGTATTGAGGAGAAGTGTGGGGTCATCTCTGGCTGCTGCAGTGAGTTGGGATAGTCCGGGCCAGTCACCTTCGTGTTCCAGAGCTTGGGCGCTGGAGTTACACTGCCTGGGTTTCACTCTACCTTTCCTGCCATGTAACTGAGCACAAGTAATTTAACTGCCC